AGACATCCAAAACACCTTCTGTTGTATACGTGGAAACTGTGTATGGGAAACATTCAATGAGGTGTGGGCATCTCACCTGGCAGTGCTGCACACTCTTCCTGAAGTTTCTTTCTGTTCTAGAACCTACCAAAGGAATGGTTCACACCCATGGCTCCATCTAGCCTTCACAGTAGTCCCGAGTTTACCTCCTTTATACAGGAGAGGAAGCAGACGCCCAGAGACGTTAAGGAAGTCGCTCCAGTCTCACAGCTAAGAAGAGAGCCCGTGCCTGTGCCTCTTTGACACCTAACTCCTCTTCCTCACAGCCAGACTTGGTAAGTGCTGAGGTGGCTCTGTGCTCATCCTACCAACCCCAAGTCCGCTCTGTCCTACCACATGGGCAGACCTGCACCCCCCACTTCTGTGTCCCAGAGCAGACCTGATAGAGGCCTTCTTTAGGGACAGTGGAGGAGAAGCCTCTTTGGCCCTGACCCCAATTACCCTGAGAGAGAGAGACAGAGACAGAGACAGAGACAGAGAGAGACAGAGAGAGACAGAGAGACAGAGAGAGACAGAGACAGAGACACAGAGACAGAGACACAGAGACAGAGACAGAGAGGAGACAGAGACAGAGACAGAGAGACAGAGAGACAGAGACAGAGAGAGACAGAGACAGAGACAGAGAGACAGAGACAGAGACAGAGAGGAGACAGAGACAGAGAGACAGAGAGAGCTGGGGTGGGGAGCTCTCTGATTCCACTGGTCTTCACTCACTCCGTTGTGAGATGACGCATATGGAATTTAACACAAACACTCTCAGAAACACAGCACCCAGGTTACATGATGATTTTTAAGAATTTCTGAGGAGGCCAGACTAAGACATCAGTTGTAGGCTAGGCCTGGGGCTAGAGGAGGGGAAGAGCCTGGGGCTGGACTGCAAAATCAGCTTCAGTGATCAAACTGGAGGAGGAGGATGCAGAATAGGAAAAAGCCTCAGATGACATGGTGTGTGGCAGGCCCTAGATCCGAGGGACTTCCTCACACCATGGACTGACTGCAACCTCAGTATCTGGTGTGGTCCCTGGAATCTGAGGATTGACTCGAGGATGCCCAAGCCCTAGGATACTGGTATCTGAACACAGTAGGTTCACATTAGTGACACATTGTCAGTGCGACTATTCCCGAAACTCAAGCACCAGGAAGACACAGTGCCTGCAGTGCTCCACTAAGAGGGTGTGGCCTTGCATAAGTGACTGCCCGGTTTAAACTAAATTCTGGTCCCAGGTAGTCACAGTGCTGCCCAGTTTAGGGACCCAACATAGGATCATTCAAGGCAAGTGCTCAGCAAAGCTATTATTATAGAAACTAGTGGCTGAGTTACAAGTCACGTAGCTCTGCACACTTCTGCTCCCTCAGCCCCTTAAAAGACTCAGCCTTGACTGATGTGAGCAGTGTCTGGGACAGTGCTAGAGCTGGGCCTTCAGGAGAGGGAAGGGACAGGCCAGGCCAGGCCCCAGGGCTGTGGTGGGAAATGGGAAGGCCAGGCCCTGGGGCCCCACATGGTCTATAAGCTTTATTTCCTTTAGGTAGAGAACAGTGTCCCAGGGGCTGCCTCTGTCCCCTGTATCCCCTTTCTGTGCCGTTACTATAGCAGCCACCTCAGCTCCCAGTGAGGGGGAGTGCAAAATAGGTCAGATCAGTAATGAGGCCGCACGGTTCTGATCTGTCCCCTGATGGGATCTGGCTTCACAAGGCATCAGTTTCTCATCAGAGCGCTGTATCTGGACTCTGGATCAAAGGCCGGCTGCCTCTGAGCCCAGATGCTAAGCCCAGAAGATCTGTCAGTGGCTCAGGCCCAGGAGGTCTCTTCTTGATCCTCCTACAGTGAGTCATGCTACTGTGGAAGCAGCTAGTGCAGGGTCCCTGAAGACAGCACTCAGTACCCTGACTTAGCATGAGCCCAGGTCTCTGGAAAGGCCACAGGCTTTCATGAGGCTGAGACTCCATCTTGGCCTGGTTCTTGAGTCCTGTCCAGTGACGACTTATGGCCAATGAGAGGCTTTTCATCCCCACAAACCTGGGTTTGAATCCTGACTGTTGATCCACAGGTGAGAGTATTCTACTTCCTTTTGGGGAAAGTGAGGAATTATAGTTGCCTTGCCACAGTGAGGATGCGGACAGATCCCCTCAGTAACAGTGCCTACGAGGCAGAGGAAGTGATGGGGTGGGGAGGACACTCCTGCCCACAGTAGGGTGGGCAGGTTCCACTTCTATCTCTTGCCCTGTGACTGTAGGCTCTGTGGTAATTTGAAAGTAATTGGCTCCTATAACCTCATAGGGGGCGGCATTATTAGGAGGTGTGGCTTTGTTAGTGTAGGTGTGGCCTTGTTGGAGGAAGTGTGTCACTGTGGAGGCGGGACTTGAGGTCTCATATATGCTCAAGCTTCACCCAGTGTCTCAGATCACTTCCTGTTGCCTACAGGTCAAACTGTAGGAATTTCAGCTCCTCTTCAGAGTGACCTAGGATTTCTTCCTGGAGTCCCCTTCCTTCACAGTAGCCACACCTGTGGGAGTCTCTCTCGCTAACAGTGAGAACGAGGAGCTGACTCTCCTAGACGGATGCAGCTCAACTCCCTTCACCTCCAACCACTGACCACATTTTATTTTGTTCTAGATACTTGTAAAGGAATCCTTGTCAAGGAAGACATGATTCCTGCTGTGAGGAAAACCACACCCAAGTATGGAGGGAGGGTAGGGACTTTGAAGAAGCCATTGTCCCTTGGGTCCTGGAACTGAGACTGGCGTGCTGCCCATTGGACCCCAGGTCACACATGGGCAAGCTGGATTTACTGATGCCAGCCTAGGTCTGTGCAGCCTGGGAACTTCTGCCCACTCCCAGCCTCTGCCCACTCCCTGCAGCACACAGGGCCTCAGGCAGTTGGAGTCAGGCCAACCAGGGTGTTTGCTGTGCTACTGACTCTCCATGGTCCAAGTCTGTGGACTTTGAGTGTCCTGGAGCCCCAGCCCTCAACTCACGAACTGCTTAGGCTGACCGGGGGCAAGAACTCCTGATGCCTTCGAGGCCCCAGGACCACCACCTTCCCCCAGTGTTACAGGCCCTTCTTATAGGAACCAAATACCTTCACAGGGGCACAGCCCTACTCTAACCCAGAGGGCACAGTGAGTCAGACAGTGTGTGGTCTTGGGGACCCTGTAGCAGAGAAGGTGCCCCAGGGAAGGACAGACAGTCCAGGAATGACAGTGGCCTGATGCTTCTGGTCCCTAGGCTGTTGACACCGCAACTCAGGGAAACAGCAGAAAACTCTACTCAGCAAGGGACATGACCCAGAAGCCACAGTAGCTGAAGCAAGAGACTTTCAACAAGCAACCCTGAATCCGTGGACTTCATCCCCAGAGGCTTCTCATCCCATTTGACCCATTCAGCCTGTAGGGTCACATATGGGAAGGATTGAGGTGCATGAGAAAGGAGAGGCATGAGGCTGATGACTCCCAAGGACCCCACACTTTATTGCCAAGAAGAGCCTGATGCTTAGATGGGAGGTCTGGAACATTTATGTTCTCATAGGGAGCGTTTTGTGATCTGTCTGTCCCTCCCATGCTTGGGCTCTCAGACTCTGAGCTCCTTTGGTGAAGTCAAACATGCCCAAATGGAATCTTTGACTTGCAGAATGTGCATCACAGGCACGTTCAGAGACCCAGAGGACCAAAGAGCCTGGGGGTGACGGGATTGCCAGGAAGATGTGGAAGACTAGATTGGCCTGAGACAGGCAGAACAGAGACTAGGTGTCCTGGAATTGAAGTCTCATCCAGGCAGGGGCCCCAGTCATCTTGGCCTATGATGTAGAAGCCAGGGCCTGTACTTCAAAGATGGGAAGGTTACCATCCTGAGAGGGAGTCAGCCCTACTGTCCCTCTCTGCCAATATTGTGCCTCACATGGCCCTGCTCACACCTGCTCCTACCCCTTGTGTGTGTAAGCAGACAATGATCTGACCCCATCACAGTGGCCAAGTCCCTGGGTGAGCATAGGGACCAGCTGGACTCTTGGGCGGGGACACCTGTCTTCCTCTAGACTATAGAGCACAGCTTTAGCTCCACCCACCTCAGTTCACTACTGTGGGAGAGAGTACAGAGGCCAGATGCTGGGGGCACAGAGCAGGACTCCCCCTAGAGGAGGGGCTAAGAGAGACCAGCCAGGGAGTGAGGAGGATGGACCAATTGAGATCAAAGCAGAAATGGGGGCTTTCCTTGTCCTAGCCAGGAAGGAGCAATGTCCTTCTCTGGGGTCAAGAGAGTGTCTGAGGCCAAGTGTGGATAGACAGGCCTGGTGTGTGTGTGTGTGTGTGTGTGTGTGTGTGTGTGTGTGTGTGTGTGTGTGTGTGTGTGGTCAATCAGTCCCTCCACTGACCCTAGGGAGACTTCAGGCAGTTTGTTCTATGACTAGAGCCTTAGCTTGTCTCTCTGTGAAATGGGCTGCTGTAGCCTATCCTGTGATTGGTGCTAGGCACTGGTCCTGTGCTGGACTCACTGAGAACTCTCACTTCCTGCAGATGTGATACCTATCATGACAGACCATATCTATTCCCTCCCATCTTCCATCCTCGGTCTGGGAGGTCAAGGGGTCTCCAGACAGAAAGACGGGAAGGGTTGTCCCAGGTGAGGAACAACCCTTGCGAAGGCTTGGGGGCCAGAAGAGGCCTTCAGTGTTGGGAGGTAGCACACTGTTTGAGGGGTGTCTAGTGGTGGGGTGCAGCTACAGGGCTAGAGGGGGCAGTGGGGGCCTGGAGTGGGGTATCAGCAGCCTCCTGTGGAGACTCTTCCACCCTCAGCCTGGGAATGTGGTACAGCACCCTGCTTCCAGGGACTTCACCAGCCAGGGAGGGGCAGGAACGTTGAAATGCGTCAATAGGAGTCACTGGAAAGTCTATGGTACTTCTAGTCAAATCCTGGCCCTCACCGAGTGGAGAGGATTGATCTGAAACACAGCATGAATACATTGGGGTGACAGAGCATCTGCTGAGGTTTTATTCTGACACAGAGAGCAGGATTTTATTAGGTTGACTTCAAATGTCATCTGAGGAAGAAAGTATGAGGTCTGCGATGAGCCTGGGTCGTCACTGACCCTGTGCAGGTGTGGGAACCACACAGACACGTGAAGGGCTACTCTCTCCATCTTCTGTGAGTCGAGGCTGACGGTAGCTGCTTCAGGGGGTGGTGTCCCTTGAATGAAGGAGCAGGGCGGGGCCTCCAGCTCTCACCCTGCCCCCACAGGCTCCCTCAGCATCTCTCCCTGGGTGGCTGGCTCCCCTCTACCTCTATGATTTCTGCTTGAGTTCCCGCCCTGACTTCCCTCAATGACAGGCTGTGACCCTAAGTTGTAAGACAAATAAACCCTTTCCTCCCCCAAGTTGCTTTTAGCCAGAGTGTTTTCACTACTGCAACAGAAAGCAAAACAGGACAGACATGCATATGTTCAGACACACAATCTGCCAGAGGGACTTTAGTTCTAGAAGTTTCTAAAAGGTCCAGTTAGGGAGCTGGGCCAGGCACACTGCATTCATTATCTTATGTCTTGCAGGGAACCTTGACTGCTTAAAACCACCCATTTGGATTGCCTCAGTGTGCACTGTCAGGCCAATGCTGACTGCACCCCCCACCCCCTGCCCCCGGTGGCAGAAGCAGGGCCCTACGGTTGGCACTTCTGCCAGTCAAGGCTGTAGTCTCACTGGAAATCTCCCTGGGGAAGGAGCTGGCACTGAGCTTTGCGAATGTTGCTGCCTCATTTTCTTACAGACTGTTGGACTGGGGTCTCCAGGGTCTCGTTTCCTTGCTGGCTGCTGGCTAGAGGCCACCCCCATGTCTTTGATGTGTAGGCCAATTGCCTTGTAAAAACACCAAAGTCAGAATGCCCACCCAGGCAGCATGGCAGCAAGATTGAAGTTGCCATGCTTTGTAACCCAGTGTCAGACACGAGGCCCCGTTGTTTCTGCTGTCTGTTTCCTGAGACCAAGTCACTCAGTGAGGCACACTCAGGGGAGGAGGTGCTGCAGGCCAGGGTCAGAAGAGGCCCGCCTTGAATTCAGTCTCAAAATGTGGGCAGGTTGGTGCTCCTCTGTTTCTGGCTGTGTGGCCAGCGGGTTTCCACCACCTCTCTGAACCAAGTCTCTTCTTTCAGACGGTTGCTAATGATGTCTGTCTTACAAGGCCTGGGCAAGGAATAAGCAAATGGTGGGTGTGGTGGATACTAGGGCATGCTGTGACCTCAGGTCCGATTCCAGGCAAGCTGTTCAGGAGGTGGGGAGTTAGGGGATCGAGCTGTGGGAGTGACTGGCTCTGCTTGCAAAGGACTTCCCAGAAAAGATGGAGTCTGGGATTGGATGGTTGTGCAGGAGTTTCTCAGCAGGGGTGAGGGGAGGGAGGACGGAGAAAAGCAGGGGCATCAGAGTGTGTGGCGAGGGTGGGGGTAGGTGGGGAGGGGGATAGGATGGTGGCAGCCCAATTCAGAACCACTCTGCCTAGACTTTCCTTCAGGGGAAGGGGAGCTGAGTAAGGAGGTCGGGCTCTTTGAGGCAGCCTTTGGGCAACCATGATGTATGTGTGAGGAAGAAAGGGCTGGTCTTTCAGGTGACTACTGGTGTCACAGCGGGACGTTTGGCCCAGGAGAAGGGGTCTGTCAGTAAGATCCAGTACTCTAGGTCCCCAGGACTCTGGGGTAGAGATAAGCCCATTGTGGCTCAGCCTGGATGGGCACAGCCAGCACACAGCCTGAGGGGGCACTGCTGAGCCGGGTTCTATGCAGTTGTCAGGGGCTTGGGGGAAAGCGGTGGGGGGGGGGCACACAGGGACTTCACTGTGCCTGGGCAGGTGGGGACGATTCACCTGTCCGATCCTGGGTCTGTGTCATTGTGTCTGTGTCAGGCAGTGACAAGATAGTTCCCGGAGACAGCATCATTCTCCCTCTCCCTCATAGCCTCCTTCCCCTCCTTGCACTTCCTTGTCACCAACTGAAAGGGTTTCACTCCCTTTGGGGTTTCCTCAGTTTATGGCCATTAACTGCTGGATTGTGGGTTTGTGGAGTGCAGGGAACCCTGAGTCTGGATTCACTTTAATTGCTTCAGGGCAAGAGTGTCTGCTGGGACCCAGAAGGGTGGAGTTACTTGTGGGAGCCAGGAAGGGAGGGAGAGGTGAGGCAGGGAATGGAGAGAGGGAAAAGAGGAGGGACATGCAAATGAGTCAGGCAGAAGGAAGACCAAGCCCCCTCTCTACATCTTTCCCAGGCAACTGTCAGACATAGGGCCATTGTTAATGACAGGAATGGCATCCCAGGGAGGCACTGGGCTTTCTCCACCCCCCACTGAGCCACAGAACCTCCTCCAGGAGGTGAACTCACTGTGCTTTTTACAGGTGTTGAGGATACCATCTCAGATTTCCCAGCAGTCCCAGCAGCCTGGCTTCTGCACAGACCCCTCCTCTAAGGTGTTCTGGAAGGTCACCAGGATGCCACACAATGTAGTGAGGTGGGGACTGGACACAGACAAGCCCGGAGGACTTCCAAGTCCATCTTTCTACTGTCCAGGCCCCAGGGAGTAACTGTCCCTCTGAGCCTCAGTGCCTGTCTTAGTTAGGGTTCTATTGCTGCCAAGAGACACCACCACCATGGAAACTCATAAAGAAAAACATTCAACTGGGACTGGCTTGCATTTTCAGAGTTTTAGCCCATTATCTTCTTGGCAAGAAGCATGGCTGTGGACATGGTGTTGGAGAAGGAGCCAGCCGGGAGTTCTCCATCTTTATCCACAGGCAGCAGTGAGAGAACTGACTGGAGCTCCTGAGACCTCACAAGCCCACCCCAAACCCGGGCGCACTTTCTCTAACAAGGCCACACCTCCTAATAGTGCTACTCCTATGGACCAAGCATTCACACACGTGTCTATGGGGGCCATGCCTATTCAAACCACCACAGCGCCCTTTCCTATAAAGCAACATGGAAACTACTGTCACCTCGTGGGAGGTTGTGTGGTGACCAGGGAGAGGAGTGGGCACTCCCACCATGATGTTGCTCTGAGTGCAAAGGACAGAGATCTCTGCCGATCATCCCTTATCTGAAGCCAGAAATGTTTCGTGTTTTTATACTTTAGATTTAGGAATGTTTTCACACGCAGAGTAGGTGTTCAGTTTATGGGTCAGAGTCCTCCGACTCCACCACCAGAAACCTGGAATTTCTTCTGTACATTTGCAGAGACCCTGCCCTGGTGGTCCTTTTTTTTTTTTTCCCCAGAAACAGCATCAGAACCCTGGGACTCTGGAGGAAGAAGCAATTTTGTGGGCTTCTCAATCTCTCTCCACTTTTATCTCCCATCCATTTCATTATTGACTTCAGCAGCTTAATGCACTGGCTCGTCTCTGGGAAAGTTGGTGACAAAAACGACAGGAAACCAAGGTCTTGGTGCCCTCTGCTCCGTCTTTTATCCATCCAATTTCATGCAGCTGGAGCCCTGGCTGCCACACAGCTGGGGAAATGCTGGAACTGTATTCAGCCACAAGGTACAGGCAGGTAACAGATCTCTTGTCACCCACCTTCCGCCTTTCCTTGGGCTCCCAAGCTCCTGGGAAGGAGGAAGCATCCTTCAGGAGAACCTGTCTTCATTCCCTAGCTCTTCACAGCTGCCCCTAGGACATCATGAGGAGGCCCACCATGAGAGGACCACCATGAGAGGCCCACCATGAGAGGCCCACCATGAGAGGATCATCATGAGAGGACCACCATGAGAGGCCCACCATGAGAGGACCACCTCTCAGGAGGACCAGAGCCTGCTCTACAGGGCCATGCCAGAAAATAGTGGTTCCAGAACAACCATGTGGCAGGTAGCCTCGGGGCCAAGGAAATTCCTACTGTGTGTGTATGTGTGTGTGTGTGGGTGTGTGTGTGCACAGTAGGACTGTTTGGAGCATGCTAACGCATCACTTGCTATATATTTGAGAGCACTTCCTCTTGCAAACCTGCCCCGTCCTTTGTCAGCCCCTCTATTTCTGTCAGTGCTTAGTGTCCAGGTGGCTTGAGTTTTAACAAGCAATGTTCCCTGCCATTTCCTTTCTTCCATTCATTCTTGATCATTTTTGCTATTCCAGGACTTTCTTACTGTTAGTCAAGCAGGTGAAAAGTAAGGGTCTTGAAAAACAAGGCAGTCCTGTGGTCCAACCCTAGGGCTGCATCCCACAGGCCACTTCCCTCTTCAGGCCGTAGGGAGTGGGGGATGGAGGGTGGGGTCGGTAGGTGGGGGGTTGAAGGTTCACAGAATGACAGGGTTTGGGAAATGCATTATGCAAATACGAATCCTTTAATCAACATTGGGTCATTAAGACCCAACAGGTGCAGATCATCCTGACAATCTCAGTGTTTCTTCTTTTGTTTCTTTAAAAAATATCACATTTATTTGTGCGTACATTTGTGTGTGTGTGTGTACCCCATGAGAATATGCCTCAGCACAGTTTAGCACGTGAGAGAACAACTTGCAGGAGTTGGTTCTCTCCTTTCGTTGTGTGGGTTCCAGGGATCGAACCCCGGTTGTCAGGGTTAGCAGTAAGTGCCTTTGCCCTCTGAGCCATCTTGCCATCTCTGAGTGTTTCTTCTTTAGGAGAGAAATCCCCAGCAGAGAGGAAAGGGAGCGCCCACGCACAGAGCGGCCCACCCTTGCCACACCCATAGCAGATCAACAGACATTTTCTCCTTGGGGATTGTAAGGACTCTAGTTAGAAGTACTCCTTCTTTTAGAATGGTCATGATTTCCCCCTGTAGACGGCGTCTTTATTTCCGTACACTGATGGCAAGCCTAGTGAGCAAGTATGTTAAAAGCACTCTGGATTTTTGTGGACGCCTGGGTATTCCAAGCGGACGAGCTCTGCCTCCCCTTCTCCAGTTAACCTCTTTCGTTTCTTCTTCTGCTCCAGAGGGGCCTCTCATGCAGTAGCTACAGGGTGGTGACAGCTGCCATCCTTGCTTCCTTCCTGGTCCCAGAGGTGAGGCTTTTCACAGTTTGCCCCTTGCTTTTCTTTGCAGAATATCTCTTTCTCTCATTCCTAGCTTGCTGGGAGTTTGGCCGTGAATGGATGACAGTTTTGGTTAAACGCCTTTTCTGCACCCGTTCAGATGAGCATCTGTTTTTCAAAGACTCCCTCATGTGACAAATCACTTTCCTGAATACATTACTGCTCACCGTGTACCACATTCCCGGCAGAAGGAAGCCGCTGTGATCTATTACCTGATTCATTCAGTGCTGGGACTTTCAGCGCTGTTATAATTTTTTACATTAATTGAATAATTAATTTTACGTTAATTAATTGATAAAGTAATTGTAGTGTCGAGATTGAATCCAGGGCCTTGTGTGTGCTAGGCCAATACTCTAGCCCTTGAGCTATGTCCCCAGCCCTTCATGTTTATTTAAAAAATTTTTTATTCATGGGCTTGGAGCAATAGCTCTGTGGTTGAGAGCGCCTGCTGCTTCAGCAGAGGACTTGGGTTTGCATCCCAGAACCTACTTAACCGCTCACAACCATACACATGTGCACTCCTGCTGCCTCCAGAGCTGGCCGTCAAAGGATGTCTTTAGGGAGTTGATTCTCACCGTCCACCTTGCCGAGGTGTGGATTTTCTTGTTTCCATCACAGTGTTATGTGGTCCAGCTGGCCCATGAGCTTCTTCTGGGCCATCCGCCTGGTTCACACCGCCTCTTCCGGCCTTTTAAAATGACTTCTGGGGATAGACCTTGGCTCCTTAGACTTGTCTGGCTAGCACTGTCGCTTGTTGAACTGTCTCTTCTGCTTTGCCCTGGCCTGTTAAATTTTAAAAGGCGTTTTGTGTTCACATCTTTAAGTGAATCTGCTCTTTAGCTTTCTACTTCTGGTATGACCCAGGGTTCAAGGCTTTGTTAGTCTTAACAAACAGAGATGTCTTCAGAATTCCCATCACCAGGGTTTCTGAGAAGCTGGACAACCCTCTGCCAAAGCCTTATTGGTATATTTCTACAATCATTCCATTTCTTCGGTGCTTTTGAAATTTCTGAGAATCTTAAATTTTCTTTTGGGGTTGGTTTCCATAGTTACATTTTTATCCAGGATGCACTTGGCGAGTCTAAAATCAGGAGCTTAATGGCACAGAATTCTGCATTCTGTTTCCCTTTCTCCATCTCAAGTTTGGGGGTGACCTACCTTTTCCGTGGCATGTGTATTGTTTGTTCCCTCATCTGCCTTTTTTTTTAATGGCCTCTCCCCCTGTTTAATTTTGAGTTTGTTACACTGCATTTTTAATTTAACATATCTATGCCTCAGTTTCCCTGAATGATACTGAGGAAGACCACCACTAGAGTAAATGGCCTAAAAAGTTGAGAATTCGGGAGGTCAGAGCTGTGCACCAGGGCAGGTGTGGAGAGAAGTTTGGGAGGCCGGGAGCAGAACCTTGTGCTCCCAGGGTATGATGGGCAGAGGGGAAGAGAATTTTCTGTAGACTACGTGAAGGCCATAGACTTCCATTGATGCTTGAACAATGTTACTGGGACTTTCTGACCTTGGCAGCAGGGCAGGGGGAACAGACAAGGAGGACTTTTGGGGACTGCGGGTGAGGGACAAAGTATCAGCCAGCAAGACAGACCTCCTTGTTTGTCAGAGAACGCTCCGGTTCCAGTAAACACCTCTGCTGTGTCTCAGATAAAAAGCTGACATAGGTCTATCCCCCCACGACCGAGAGCTACCACAGTTTAAACTCTTTTTTAATTAAAAATAAACATGAAGGGCTGGGGATGTAGCTCAAGAGCTAGAGTGTTGGCTTAGCATGCATGAAGCCCTGGATTCAATCTCAGCACTACAATTACTTTATCAACTAATTAACGTCAGATGAATTATTTCAATTAACGTAAAAAATTAAACAGCACCGAAAATCCCAGCAGAGACTGAGGGAGAACAGCACAGATAGCCTGGGCACATCTGAAGCTCTGAGGGTCCTCTTCCTCAGCCAGGATCCCAGAGGGTCAGGAAAAGGAAGTGAGCAACTATATATATATGTATGTATGTATGTATGTATGTATGTATGTATGTATGTATATATATATCCACTTTCTAGCCTCTTATCAGTGGGGTCCTCCAACCTTGGTGAGCCCTGAGTTGGAATGGGTGGGTAGACTAGTGGTCAAGTCCAACTGTGTTTGAAAGTGGCAAGCAGAAGCAGGGCTAATTGCTGCTGTGGCATCTGTGGCTGTGGCGATGGTGGCTGCTGAAGGCAGAGTGCTTGTGCAGCTTCTCATGGTACTGAAACTAACCCAGACCTCAGCAAGGCCTCCAGTGTCATTTGCTGTCAGTTGGCTTTGAAAATCACCACTTCTGTCGCTCTCAGGGCCAAACAAGTTATTATTAGTCCCTCGCTCGCTTTGCCAGGTGACACCTCCGATGTGTGGGTCATGATGACAACGGTTGCCTAGGTTACTTTCAGGGAATCGGAGGCTACTTTTGTTGAAACTATTGACTTTTCATTTGTGGAGGTGACCTTTCGTGTTAGGAGGTAGAGCGCCACTCTTAGCCACCCACACTACCATTGTCTGAACAGA